CGTTTCCTTAACTATTACACTTTAAACTCAGTTTAAACTGCGTTTAAAGTGCGCGATTAACACTAATTAGGCCATTCCGCGCCGACTGGGCCCAGTTTCACCGGATATAGTTAACATTCGAGTTAGTTATGTGCGACAAATTACGGTTACACTTCGTGGGTTAACTTTTATTCTTGCAGTTTAGTAATAGAAAGAGTAAGTATGACCTACTTAGATTACATAAGTAGAGAAAAATTACTAATGAATTGAATTTTGATGCATGCAACGGCGGATCCGGGAGGGAGGTCATGGGGGTCATGACCCCCCCTGAGCTGGTTGGTTGACGAAATATATTTACATATTTTGACAAGCTTTTGACTTGACCACGACTATGTGACCCTCCCTGGCGAAAAGGTGGATCCGCCTTTGGAAGCATGTTATCATCGTCATCATCTCCCCTGCCTTATCCTACTCCCGTAGTGTCGGCGCACCGGGTTTTCGTCTTCCAAAGCACTCTATCATCTCAGTCATCAGTCCCTTGTGTAGATTGAAAATTGTTTTTTTTTTTTTAAATTATGCCATAACTGACTACTCGTGTATTTTGAATGCATTTAAGTTTAACTTGACACTATAACTTGGCAGTAACTTAATACAATTCGTGAACTAATCCGCTAAATGAATCAGTGGTGGTAAGTCAGCGCCCCCTGCCCCCTCGCAGCCCCTCGTACCCGTCTTCTGACTTGGCCATTCCGCTTGATATAAATTTAAATTTAACCTAATAATAATTTTCAGTAGTGGTCTAAGTCAGAGGATTGTATTTTTAAATATAAGAGACCCACCTTCGATTAAACTATCGCACAACTGTGTGCGATTGTTGATTGTTTCGCAGCTAAACTGTTTAGTTGTGTATCGAGTAGTGTGCGCACTTCCATATAAGCTAATAAGAATCAAAGTATACTAAACAGTTGTGCGATAGTTTAGTTTCAGATGTGCACACAATATCAAAATAAAACTGACAATTATTGTAACATATTATAATAATAGGAATAACGGATAAAAATAATCTAAAAGTACACGATGACTTTTCATAGTAAGTTTTATTTCTGTTACAAGTTACATCATACATCCATTTCTTATTCTTTATGCATAAAAGGCATATAATTTGTTTATTTAATACAAGTTTTGTTACCGCGTAGAGCGTACGTCATGGACCATACGTGCTACGTGACCGGTGCTACACCGCTACGACGCTACGAACACGTAGCGACATTATCAGTAAGTTAGTTAATGGAATTACATCTCTAGTTTGGTCAATGCTCGAGTTAAGTAAATATTGTAATTACAATAATTATCATGATTTTTGTTGTAATATTAGTATGATATAAACTAACTATCTTTGATTTTATCTTAATTAAGGCGACTTTTTAACCAAAGATGTCCGGCTCGAAGGACCAAAATGTATATCATAAAAGATTAGAAAATAAAATTATTTTAAAAGGATACATTTGTATTGGTAAAATATGTACAGAAAAAGACATAGAAAATACGTTGCCATTGACAATGTGTTCTAATTTCAAAAACAATAAATTCTAACTTTTTTCTAATGGCTTGAAATCTAAAAACATATAAAAACTTCTTGAACAGATGGATACAAAAATAAGCTAACAACATTTTTAGTTTTTGTTAACAAAGAGCAGACCTATTTGTTTTTTAACCACATTATTTAATTGTGACGATTACTTAAAAATTACACAGGAAAAGTTAAGAGCTTCTTTTATCTTTAAGGAGAAAATAATTAATTTTAAACACGATTTCTTTATATTTTTATTTAAAATCAAATAGTCTTTCAATGTTACTTGAAGTTTTAAAATAAATAAAAAATGTACAATGTATATTGTGTTTTAAATTCTGCCGGCGAGCAGTTGCTGGGAAAGTTTAAATGTTTTGTTAGCGCAAACTATAAATGTTTCGTTGCAACTTAAAAACTCTTTACAACTTGTCGGATTTGAATGTAAATTTCACTGTGAAAGACTTTAATTCAACAACACTGACGATTCACTGTTTTTTGTAATAAAAAAAGCTATTTTCGTTGAATATAAAAATACTAGCTGATCCCGTGCGACTTCATCCGCATGAAATTATGAAAACTTTACTTTATTGTTTACATTTGTCAAATTATCAATTGCAAATGTCAAACTGACATGATATAACAAACCTTGGCAATCTTGTTACCTTCATGTTGGCAGCAACTTATGGTCTCTTTCCCACATTAGAGTTTTTATCCAAAATTTTTTACCCCTTTAGTTTTATGGCGTGAAAATATATAGCCTAAAGCGTGTCGTAAGTGTAGGGCTTTTTATTAAAAAAATGACTATTCAAAAATATGGTGTAATTGCTGACATCTTAGGCAACAAAGAAGTGTGTGTTTACGCTTTATTATAATAGTATAGATTGATAATATTAATATATAGTTTGCGAAGTTAGATATTTGTAAGAGTTAGCCTAAATTGCTAAACGGATCTCGATAAAATTTTGTTTCAATACATAAAAAATACAGATATGGTAATTATCCAGACTAACTACTAACATATTTATAAGTTACAGAAAAAAGAAAATCATAACATGAAATGTGCATTTTCTTTCCAATTTGTATTCAACAAAAGTTTTATAGTTCTTTTGTCTTTTAAAAAACTATAAAATTTAAATGCAAAATTTTACTTGAGGCGTATTATTTTGTCGCAGCCGTCCGGTAATAACGGACAACTCCCGCGGCGCAAACGGATGAATATTTAATGTAACTAGGATTACTGTCCGTTAAAATAGAACTGTCCTGTGTTAGGGACAATATGCCAATTGGTTTCTTACCTTTGTTTTAAAAACTGTTGCATGGTTACCGTTATACGTGAACATGGTTCTTTGTTTCACCTTTCTATGACTGTTTATGTCTTTTGCTGGGTTTCTGAGGTTTCCCAATATTTTGTTCTTATCTAATCTCATTAGTGTTAGATTAATCGAAGTTTTAATGTAATAAAACTCAATTCACGTTAGTAACTTGACTTTAGAAAAGAGGTTTTTAGAGGTTTTAAAAATCCATTTTTTAAATTTATGTTTTCACGTATCCTGGATTGAATTTGCAAATTTCGTTTCTTCGTATTCACTGTTTATTAGTTTTTTAAAAAAATAATGTTAAAATCTTAATGTAATTTCTTTTACCAGTTCTTTAAAATGAAAACACAATAGAAAAGTTCCTATAGAAATGCGATAAAAATTTTAAAAGCCAGTCAAGACTGCATTTCAATACCGGATAACGTTCGAATCGAAACAATGGATACAGTCCCAAGATAGTTTCCATTATCAGTCGTTAATAAATCCGTCCGTGCCGTCCCTTCCCGTCCCGTGAATCGAGGGGCGTGATTACGTGTGCTAATAGAAAATTTATTTCCATCGGCAACGGGTGTCTGTGAATTTTAAATAAGAATATTGATTCATTATAAATGCATTGCTTTCGAAGATTTTCTATAAACGCTTTCTATACTACTGCCAGGAATATTTCATGAAGTTAATTGCGCAAACAAATTGGGGAAACACTTGAAATCCGATCATTTTAATATAGATTGATATATTGATTTATGTACAAAAATATGGTGACCACATAGACTAGGATAGTAATCAACCCTTATGTGAGTGACAAATAAAACACCTTTATTAGAGTGACGAGGTACCCGGGTACCTCCATACAGTTTAGACGTAATGTGAACAATCAAGGTCTGTTTTAATGTTACCCACACTTTGAATATTACTATTTTAGTAAAGCTAAACAGTTGACGAACTGAGGTGCTTAAAGCGGGGGAGGGGTGGAGTGCAGTACATGGATTTTGGCGCGCAAGAAACACTTGAATCCATTCAATGCATCGTGCTTGATATTGATGCTTGACTGTCTACGGTGTATAAGAAAACGCCTTTCAATTGTTTTCTAATTCTCATTTCGAAAATGCAATATCATTTTCAGTAATAAGGCCACGCTTCTACTTTAAATTCCATTAAAATTTTATTATATTAACGTCTGATAGTTGTATGCAACACTTACGAAATGATTGTTTAAAAATCGTTACAGTTATCGATTTTAGAAATTCTTATAGTTTCTAGGAATAAACAGCGTTTATTTATTCATTCCTCGTCATATTCAGTTTATTTTTAAAACAGAAAATGTCAATTCATTATTTACTGCCAGTAAGCGGCTATTTCCTGCAACGAATCACTCCGATTTAAAGTTACACAAAAGCTTGTTCTCAATTCACTGATTCGAGAAACGGTTTTGTTTTAAACGAACTGATAGTTTTTTTTTATCGATGTCTCGTTTTCAAGTTGTTCGAATTGATACTGACAACAAATAGATTTTATCGTAAATAGAAACGAATGATTGAAACAGCATACTTAATTGGTACGTTTCGATCACATTATACATTCCATTAGTTTTAGAATGTCCAGAAACTTATTTACTACAAAAATAGTTCTTATAACAAAACCTATAAAGTTGAATTTGATTAATGAAAACATCGTTGTTTTCAGTTGTGAAATAAATGGTGTGTCTAGACAGGATGACATTTTGAATATTTCTATTATGGATTAGTAATACTGTTCTTTGTTTTTATATTTCCTTACCGAGGGTCTTTTCTCTCGACACATAGAAATTATATATGGTCTTTTATAACGAATTTAGTCAAAAATTACTACAAACTACAAAAGCAATACATTTTTAACATCGTAAAGTGACTAACTAGCGATTGGGCACCTAATTTAGTGAAAAAGGGAGTGAACCGTTGCCCATTAAAATCTGCAAAAGCCTATACATTGCCTACCCTTAATCGATAGAGGAGAGAATGCACAGAAATCGTATATTTCCTCTTACTATGTGTCCTATCATACTTTTCTTGTAAGAAAAATGATGGAAAAACTTATTAATGCACATCAAATGTCTTTTATGTAATAGCATATTAAAACAAAATGATTAACAAACATACCTGTCCATCATATCACCCTCAGGGCGGTTGATGGCGGCGTCTTTTGAAGCCGAGTACACGTAGACACGGCTGTCTGCTTTATACCATTTGACACTGTGCATCTCGCCGCACGACTTGCCGTCGATACGACATCGTAGACGTGCTGTGTTGCCGACCAGAGCGGACGCGTGATCTGTGGATAAAAAAAATGAGTAAATTCAATTGTATTACGTGAAAGGTGACATGATCAAGTAGTGATGACTGAGATGACGGATGATAGAGTTATTTGGAGGACGAAACCCCGGTGCGTCCTACGGGAGATAAGATGAAATGAGATCCGTAATTATGGATGAATTTTGTTACTGTTAAGAGGTTAAAATAAAGCAGAAATAGGTGTTAAAAAGCCGAGAATCTAATCTCAACTGTTTTAAATGAAATACGAACTTTTTTAGTGTTAAATTTGTATAGATCGAGTCTAAAATACCGTAATATGTTACGTTAATTGTACGATATAGTTACGGAATTTTTTCACAGTTCATTGTATAGTAGAATACAGAAAATTAAAGTTATATGTAAAAATTCATTGCTCATACAAATTCGTGGTACAACGAAAATGAAATTCTTCGCTACACGTTGAAAATTGTTCTCTTTTAAGAAATTAATTTCACCGTTTGCTGGAATCGTAGATATGAAAAATATATTAGTCTTTCTCTACGTGGAAACGTAGAAATTAAATTAAAGATAATATAATGATACATTTTGCATCTTTTATTTAGAAATATTATACAGTTAATTACTCTATACTAATGTTATAAATTATTTAAAAAATGGGCGGACGACATAAAAACACTGGAGGGTTATTTTGGACAAGGAAAGCGCATAATAGCCGAGAATAGGAGGAGCTAGAAGAGGCCTATGTGTCATGGATACGCCGACAACTAGTCTAGGATAAAATTAATATTAAAAAAAAATGATAAGTGTTACCAGTAATTGTTAATGTTTTTTTTAGTTTTGGCAATAAAGGCTTAATAAAATGTTATAAATGCGAAAGTTTGTTACTACAAAACAGCTTAACAGATCTCGATGGTATTTGACAGGGTAATAGAACATAGCCTAGAGGAACACAAATACTACTTACTACTATAGGTTTTGTAAAAAAAACTCAGTAAGAAATTACTTACTTTATTTTAAGAGTTGGCTTAATGTTGTATAACAAAAAAAATTCACTAAGGGACAGTTTAATTAATCATTATAATGCAAATTAAAAAAAAACATCTAGTTTAAAGTAACCACGCAATCTACAGACTTTAAAACGGCGTATAGTTTAGTCAGGCACTTGATAATTATAATCATGTTGACGTGCACATAACTATATCAGCCGTTAAAAAGTCCGTAGTCTCCAGGGTCGATATTGATAATGTAACTACAAGACTGATAGTGCAAACTCAGTGCCAAGGCAGTGACTGAACAGATGATCTGCCTCCAGAGATATCGCCGCGTCACGTACACTGCAAATAGCGAGCCAAAAGGATTGCCATAACAGATTTTTAGCTTACTCTATACTTATTTTATGTACCAAATAACTGGTATATGGTCAGTTATATTGGTACATTTTTAATCACGCCGTAGTCAAGAAATATGTTGTTTATTACTAGTTACTCGACATTAGTAATAATTTAATATAGCCTATGTTTCTCACGGATAAATTACCTTTCTAATGGTGACACAATTTTTACAATCGGCCAAGTAGTTTTGGAGTTATTTCAATACAAAATACAAATCTTTCCTCTTTATAACAATACTATAGATATAAATCGACTAAACTATCGCACAACTGTTTAGTCTCTAGTGAGATTACGCTACTCGATTTTTAGTTGTGGAACTAAACAGTTGAAAGCTGCAAAACAATCGACAATCGCATAACAGTTGTGTGATAATTTACTCAAATGTTTGTTCTAAGAAAGAATCACTTTTGTTTTCCTATATTTTAATGTAACATTTTAATTAAATCCCCAACATACTAGCGCTGAGGGTCTGGTAGCTTGTTAAATGACATTTAATATATCCTCGCTAAGGTTTACTGCTTTCGGACTCAAGTTTAATGTTCTGCGGTCATTAGCTCCGTAAATTTGCGAAATTACAATGGCTTTGTTAACTATGAGGTTTCAATGCTTTATTTAAGGAACTGTTTGTTAGAATGTTTGTGTTTTTAATTATGGTATACTAGCTTTCACCCGCGACTCCGTCCGCGTGGAGTTACAAAAGTAAATAGCCTATGTGTTATTCTAGACTAGGCTCTAGATCTATGCCAAATTTCAGCCGTTTAGGCTACAAACTCTAACAAACATCCATCCATCTAAACTTTCGCATTTATAATATTAGTAAGATACAAGATTTAGCCACAACTAAAAATGTTACCTACGTGTAAATATTCTTTGCTAATTATTATTTTTTTTAATTTATGGCACGTTTTATAATTTTATACTCTTTGGTTACAAAAATGTAAGGGGTTGTTAGGAGTGATGCTTTTGTAAATCGGAGCAGAGATTAAAAGATAATTAAAAGAAGTAAATAAATCGTTTAATTCGTTATAGAAAATATCGTGTAACAAAAGTTAGTATCTCCTGTAATTAAAAACTCAAACGCAAGTGTATTCCCGTGCTAAATATATTTATTTATTTATTTATACAAACAAACATACAATATCACAATTCAATATAATTTTACAAATACGTTTCTCTCGATTTTTTTTTACTTCTAATTTTAAATTCTGTATTTTGTTCAATTATATGTATATCCTTGGCTCCTTTACTAGGTTAATCCCCTGTATTAAAGGAGCCAATGACTTCCCTTAATTTGTGTAATATTATATCAAAATTTAAAAAAAAAACAAAATAGATTCAGTAATTCGCCATTATTTCATATTAATTAATAATAAAAAGTTATTAGTTGGGTAAGTATGCAGGGGTAGGTGTGTGCATGTGCTAGAATGTGTGTTTGTGTGTTGGCATGTGTGTATGTTTGTATGGTGAGTGGTTGTTAATTTAGATGAATTTAAGGAGTGTGTACATAATAGTATATTAGTTGCTTATTTAGGAAAATATATTATAAAAACAATAGCAATTGTATTGTTTAATTCACGAACAGGAAAAGCATCTTAAGATTTTCCCTCCAAAAACAAGTACATTTCCTACCACACGTCAGTATATTTGAGAGGTTCCTTTAATGTCTTTTTTGTTGAACACCTGCGTAGTTTCTTAGAGTTAATTGTGAGTGTGTTTTCTACACAGAATTGCTTAATAGCTGTAATTTTTTGTATCAGTTATATTATAATTAAGACATAGAAGTGATTTTTTTTAATAATAGCATATTGTTTTAAAATGTCTTGTTAATATTTGAATGACAAGATTTAAACCCACGACCACGTGTTTAATTACACTTTTAAGCCTTGCTTCTTTAAATAAGATCTCAAAGGAGTTTTTCTCTAGTCTAGACTTAAAAAAAAATATGTTTTTTTTTTCTAAAATCGTTAGAGAAGTTGCCAGTATTTATGTATTAACATTAGTTTAAACAAGGTTATAAATACGTTTAGTATCATAGCAAATTTGTAAATTGGATTCACCAAGGGTCAAAGTTGGCCCACAAATTGTTACCGAGATTGCAGACCCTCAGGAATATGGATTATATGAGTATTATTACATTAAATAGTAAATTTCTGTTTAGATTTAGTAAAACAACTTTACGATACAAAATTGCATATTAACAATAAAACGTAGAAGAAGATGACGTAGGGTGTCTCAATGATTACATGATTTTTACGTATAAGGTTTTGATTAAATTGCATCACAATATTGCGCTTTTTAAGTACACTAAGCTTTAACAGATAGCATAAAAATAACCTTTTAGCTGCTATATTGTAAAAAACGTAATGTACACACTTACAAAACGATTGTAGTCTCTGCCTATCCCTATTATAAATACCGTGAATATTGTCCAAATATAATTATTTTATTAAATTAAATCTATTTTCAAATTTTGCTATAATCTTAACATTAAATTTAAATTATAAACAATAATCTATACTTATATTATAAAGAGGAAAGATTTACTACTTTTTATAAGACAACTTAAAAACTACTAGGTCAATTTAAAAAATATTTCTCCGTTAAAAAGGTAATTCATCTGTGAGTAACGTAGGTTATACTTTTTAATATATTTTAATTTCAAGCGGACCAAGTCGCGAGCAACAGCTAGTAATAAATATATCCGTAACATAACCCTTTAAGGTTCTAACGAAATTGTACACTGTAATAGAATAACGGAAGACGTGGGATTACGTTTAGCCTCTCATTTACATTCCCAAATTAAATATAATTTGGGTCAGCAGGAGCCCACAAATTGTGTTAATAGCGTCGGCTCGCTGGACAACTTGTTTACATAAAGTTATTGAAGGTTTAAGACGAAATGTTGCCTTGTAACTTTGGTAAATATTTCAGAGATCCTAACACGAAAGAGAGAAAGGATTCGTGTACACCAATGTAGTACTTTTATCAATGATGTTACAAATGTTCGTGCTATGTCCTCAGATCTAAAGACATATAAAACAATCTACTAGCCTCGAGTTTGACTTTTGCACAAAAGTTCTTATTGTGAGTTTTAATTTTTCTTTCATAAAAAATCTCTACCTTAACTTCCTGTCATCGTTCATCCCTTAAACCAATTTCCGTGAGTAGAAGTGTAGTTTGGTCCATTTATGTAATATATTACTTCGTTTATATGCTTTATTACATTAATTAGGCGAAGAGCATTATACTAAACTTGTACCAGGTAAAGTATGTTGTACCGATAGTTAATTCGAAATATCCAACAGCAATAATTCTAACTTCCAGTTAAACGACTTTCATTAGTAGAACCAATCCCGCAGCACCGGTGAGAGCGAAACTTGGAAGTCGCGTTATGCCTCAACAGCTTGTAATGGACACAATTTCTGCACTCAATTTAACAAGATGGTTTTAGCTATGTAACTTAGTATCTTAGCACTTGAGTCATAAATTACTATACAGACTCTGTTATACTGTGCCTATTAAACTATTACACAGGATTTAAACAATACTTAAAGCCTAAATTAATTATTAACAATTTAATAGCGTGTTTTAAATTGATAACAACGCCATCTAGTGCTTAGTACCTTTA